TAACACACACTGGGGTGGAAAAGTTGAACAGATTTATAAGAAAATAAGAAATTGAACAGGTCATAAAAAGATTACCAACAAAAAAAGTCCTGGCTCAGACTGTTTCACTGGAGACTTCTACCAAACATTCAGAGAAGAACTGACACCAGTCCTACTCAAACTATTCCAAAAAATGGAAAAAGATGGAATCCTCCAAAATTCATTTTAGGAAGCAAGCATAACCTTGATACCAAAACCAGGCGAAGACATCACTCAAAAGGAAAATTACAGACCAATATCCCTCATGAATAAAGATGCAAAAATTGTCAACAAAATCCTAGCCAATAGACTCCAATGCATATCAAGACAATAATTCAATGGGACCAAGAGGGGTTCATACCAAGTATGCGAGGATGGTTCAACATTAGAAAAACAATTAATGCCATCCACCACATAAATAAAGCAAAGGAAAAAGAACCATCTGATCATATCAATCAATGCAGAGAAGGCATTTGATAAAATCCAACACACATTCCTGATCAAAACTCTCAGCAAAATAAGAATAGAAGGGACATTCCTCAACATAATACAGGGCATACATACAAAACCAATAGCCAACATTATTCTCAATGGAGAGAGACTGAAATCATTCCCCTTGTGAGCAGGAATCAGACAAAGATCCCCTCTATCACCACTTCTATTCAACATTGTACTGGAAGTCCTAACCAGGGCCATAAGGCAAGAAAGGGAAATCAAAGGCATCTAAATTGGTAAGGAAGAGGTCAAACTATCCCTATTTGCAAATAACATGATCCTATACCTAGCAAACCCAAGAGGCTCATTAAAAATGTACTCTAACTAATGGAGAGACTTAGCATGGTGTCAGGCTACAAGATCAACATCCAAAAATCAGTTGGATTCCTCTGCACCAGCAAAAAGATTGCTGAAAAAAATAATAAGGAAATCAATACCATTTACAGTTATCTACCAAAAAAAAAAAAAAAAAAAAAAAACTTGGGAATAAATTTTACCAGGGACACAAAAGACCTGTACAAAGAAAACTATAAAACACTACTTCAGGAAACCATAAGAGATCTGCATAAATGGAAGAACATCCCTTGCTGTGGATAGGAAGACTGAACTTTGTGAAAATGTCAATTCTACCCAAAGCATTCTATACGTTCAATGCAATCCCAATGCAGATCCCATCAACATTCTGTAAAGATATGGAAAAACCAATCACTAACTTTATATGGAAAGGAAAGAGACCTCAGATAAGCAAAGCAATATTGAAGAAGAACAACAAAGTAGGAGGTCTCACACTGCCAGATCTTAAAACCACAGCCACAGTAGTCAAAATTCCCTGGAATTGGTACAATGAGAGACACATAGACCAATGGAATAGAATTGAGAAACCAGAAATAGACCCACTGACCTATGGTCAGGTGATCTTTGACAAAGGGCTGAAGTCCATTAAATGGGGAACAGAATGTCTGTTTAATAAACTGGATATCCATTTGCAGAAAAATGAAAAAAGATCTGTATCTCACACCAAACACAAAAACTAACTGCAGATGGATCAAAGACTTAAATGTGAAACCTAAACCTATAAGGTTCCTCAAGGAAAAACTAGGGGCAAATTTAGAGGCCTCTGGTGGTGTAGTGCTTAAGGCATTTGATTGATAACCAGAAGGCTGATGATACAAACCCACCAACCACTCCTTGGAAGGATGATTGGGCAATCTACTTCCGTAGTAATACCACCTTGGAAACCTAAGGAGCAGTCACTATGAGTCAGATCTGGCTTGATGGCAGTGAGTTTGGAATATCCGGCATAAGTAGACTATCAAGCATAACCCAAAATGCACAAACAGCCGAAAAGAAACTATATGAATAGGACCTTTTAAAAATTAAATTTGAATGTGCTTCCAAAGAATTCTCCAAAAGAGTCAAAAGAGAACCTACAGATTGGGAAAAAAATATTCGACAATGACATATCTCACAAGGGACTTATCTCTAGAATTTATAGAAAACTCCAACACCTCAACAACAAAAAGACAAATAATCCAGTTAAAAAAATGGGTTGTTGTTGTTGTTGTTATTTGCCATCGAGTTGGTCCGGACTCATAGCGACTCCTCCTTGGGTTTCCGAGGCAGTATCACTACAGAAGTAGGAATGCCCAACCTTCCTTC